TTTTTTGGAGTCATAATAGTACAGTACTACTTTTCTTATTTTAAAATAATACCCTAGTCATTTTTTATTTAAAATTTATTTGTTTTGTTTTTTTTTCCTGGTTTATGAAAGACATATAGATGGTTATATATATATATATATATACACTCTAACTCCATTGTAATTTATTGAATTTTTTTTTATCATATTATAATTTTAGAGGAGGAAGAATTCAAACTCCAAACCTTGGTGCATCTTATAAACATATAACTATTGGATTATGAGATTTAGATGTATAATTTATTAATTTTAATGATCTATATTATTACAAAACATATAGAGTATTTTTTTTTTCCCAATTTTTGATTACAAACAAATTTAAACGATATTTGCCAGAAAAGTCTTGATTCAATATTTAGGTGGAGGATTCGGTAATTGTCAAGTCCAGTTTTTAAGTGTCTCTATGGAAATGATTTTTTTGACAATTATTTCTTACAATTATTACTTACAAAATGACCTGTCGTGTCCATGTTGTTGTATCACCATGTTATGTTTACTTAATATCAAATAAATAAATAAATATAATATTAAATATTTTATTTAAATTAAAATTTTTTATTTTTGAACGTCCAAGGATTGAGTTTGAATCTTACACCTTCAAATTCACATAAAAAAATTCTTAATAAAAAGATGGTGATCACTAATTCACTAAGATGTTCTCCACTCAGATGTTCTCCACTCAAGTTAAAAGATTTAATACAAATTAAAAGTTAAATTGAAATAAGGGGATATGATAGACAAGTAATCATTCGATGTCAGATTCTAAGCAATGGTTGTCGAAAAATCATTTCTGAATTCACATAAACTAGTTCTGATATAGGTTATGTTCTGAATTTACAGAACTTTCATAAGGTTGAGTGAAAGAATTGCATGCCGTGCAAGGTTGGTTTGAGATTGCGGTTCAATGCTTTAATTTTCACATTATATCTTACTAAAAGCGTTAATTATTAAGATTAAATTAATTTTAATTAATATAAATATACTATATTTTAGTAATCATATTAATACATGATAACACTCTTTTTTTCTATCTTAATTATATACTGAATGATAATCCTCTCTTATTTTTTGTTTTATTTTATCTGTGTATCATATAATTTGAACTCAAAATATCTTATTTTCAACAAAATAAAATTACATTTAACTACTTAGATCGTTAGCCATAATAGCACTTTTCTTAAAATAATTATCAAAAAATAATATAATTTTTTATAATAAAAAATAATATAATTTTTTATAATAAAAAATAATATAATTTTTTATAATAAAAAATATTAAAAAAAACTATAATCACAATATTTCACAAGAATTCGAATTGAAGTCTGACTCTAGGTAACTGTATGTCAAATTATCAGGGATTTGTTTCAATATACTTCCGTGAGACAGGTAGACAAGTGGTCAAATAATAAACGTTCCCCTAAGGAGCATAAAGCTCCTCACCCAAACAAGCAAGTGTATATTATTTGATTCAATATATTATATAATATATTTATTAAAAAATTATTATTATTTTACTTAAAATTAAAAATAAATTTAAAAATATAATCATACATTAATATATAAAAAATGATTAAATTAATTATATTTATATTATATTTGAGTAATTAAATTAAATAAATATCTAAAATTGTGTCGAGTTAGAAGGCTTCCTAGTCATTTTCTTGCCCAAATAATAAGAGCTCAACATTAATGACCTGTTGATTATAGTGGAAAGAATTTACTTTCTCTTAAATAAGTTATTGAATTCGAGTTTTATAAATGGAGAAACATGCATTAAGAGAGCTTCCCTCCTATGGGTTCCAACATAGTCCAATTCTAAATTAATTGAGATTCAATATAATTATCAAATACTGTTCAAAAAATATATATATGATTATCAAATACCAAAAAATTACTAAAAAATAAAAAAAGTTCAACTCCCTTTTCCTTCTGAGTCCAACCTCTTTGCCATAAAAAATAAAAAAGTTAGCTTTTTGTCAATATTTATCAAAACATAAAATTAGTTTTTAGAGTCATCCATTTGAAAAAAATAAAATAAAATGTCTTTAAAATTGTCTTAATATTCTTAATAAATAGGTTAAAATTCTACTTTAATAAAAAGCTTATTTTTAGTCTTTTTATTTAAGAAAACTCTTTTTTAATCTCTAAAGTTTATTATTTGGCTTCTTTTTAGTCCCTCCGATATTTTTTTATATAAATATCACATTAGATAATAAAAATTTTAAAGTAAAAACATTAAAAATAGACTTTTCTTTTTTTAAGTAGACAGATCAAAAATGGGTTTTTTAAAATTAAAAAGATCAAAAAAAAAAATTTTAAGTAAAAAGACAAAGAAAGGGTATTTTTGGGTCCCTTTTTAATCCCTTTATCTTATAATTTCTATTATCTAACATGCCATATGTGTAAAAAATAACAAAAATATTAAAAAGAGGTGGGATAATAAATTTTAGGGATTAAAAAGAAATTTTCTTAAGTAAAAAATTTTTTTTTAAAAAAAGATTTTTTATTAGAGTAAAGGGACCGAATTAAGATTTTCACTTAATAAATACTTTAATATGTACTACTTTTTCTATTCATTTTTTATAGTAATTTTAATTTTATTTTTTTATTTTTTAAATATAAATTTTAGATAAAAATTTAACAATTTATAAAAATAATAATTGAATTTTTGTATATAAAATTTTTATTGAATATTTTTATTTGATTAAAAAAAGTTTAATTATTAAATTTTTATGTAGATTTTATATATGAAAAGTTAAAAAATAAATTAAAACTACTAAAAATGTACAAGTAAAATATTTGATTTATTTCCTTAAATTCACATTCCAAAACACACCATTTATGGTATTTAAATCTTTACTTAGATATTTTTGAATTTTTTTTAATGTAAATTCACCTCAAACTGTTGAATTAATTTATCAAAATATGTTAAGAATTTAACTTTACATTTTTATGCTAATAAAAATTTAACTTTACTTGGAAACAAAATCTCATAACAATTAAAATAATACCAAATGACACAAAAACCCTTGCCCTACAACAAATCAAGAAATTACTAGTTTCAGTGTCAATCAAATTCCACTTTATCTATATATATATCTTCTTAGACTTCGCCGTTCAGCATGTCTTCCTCTTCTTTACTTCCTCCGGTTTCCCGCCTTGTAATCATCATCTTCTTCCTCAGTTGCAGTCGCAGTTTCATCGGAATGATGCGACGACGCAAGCTGTCCACCAGTCTTCTGGTTCTCTTCCTCGTTACGGTTCTCGCCGCTTTGTATTTCCTCCATCTCTCCAGCAATTCCGTTACCGGTAAGGAAGTTCAGTTATTCCCGGACAATTTGATGGCCAGTTCCAAAGACCGAGATTCTTTAATTAATCATGCTATCAGGGAACAGGTAAAGGAGCTAGGCCACCGGAACCGACGCGTCTCCTCTATTCAAGACAAGGTCGATTCAGTCGCCGTTCTTTTGCCTTCTTGGGAGGTTCTCGTGGTCGTAGTCGTCTCCACGGAGAATAAACCGGCATCTAGTTCCGATGATAATTTTTACTGTCTTTTCCCGAACAACGCCACGTCTCTGGCGAAATTTTATGGGGTTTTACCGTTTAGCAATGCGATGGCGTTCAAATGCGTTCTCCCCCGAAGTAATCGTCGGCGCTCACCGTTTTATCAGCCAGTGCTAACGAGGTCACCGGGCAGTGAATCACAGGCTTTGCCTGCGTGGGAGCTGCCGCGGTGGTCTTTCTTGGTGTACGACTCTGTCTCCACGGAAGACGACGTTGTTCTCTTCGTGAAAGGCGTGAATAAACGGCAAGGCTTCAACCGCTCTCCCGAAGAGTTCAGGTGCGTTTTCGGCGATGATCTCAAAACCGCCGTCAAAACCCCGATCACCAGCTCCGTCCAAGAAGTATTCAGGTGCAGTCACCCGAATCTGAAGCGTCTCGGCGGCGAGCGAATCATGGTCTCTCTCGAAATATCTGGAGAATTAAACCGTCAGATTCCTTCGGTTGCGTATTACACTCCAAGACGCAAAGTAGCCCCTCCAAACCCAAAAAAGCTATTGTGCGCCTGCACCATGGTGTACAATAGCGCCAAGTTCTTAAGGGAATGGGTAATGTATCATTCCGAGATCGGCGTCGAGAAATTCATACTGTACGACAATGGCAGTACCGACGATTTACAGAAAATCGTCGACGACCTTAATCAAGAAGGCTACAATGTCGAGAAGATGTTATGGATTTGGCCGAAGACCCAAGAAGCTGGGTTCTCTCATGGCGCTGTATACGCTAAAGACTCTTGCGTTTGGATGATGTACTTCGACGTCGATGAATTCGTATTCTCGCCGTCTTGGTTGAATTCTTCGAATCCGTCGAAAAACATGCTGAATTCTCTTTTACCCAGAAACCCAGATTTGAATCGACCTCTGATCGGTCAAATTTCGATCAAATGCAACGATTTTGGACCTTCGGGAAGGAAAACTCACCCACCGGAAGGGGTGACGCAAGGTTACACTTGCCGCCGGCAGGTAGAGCAGCGGCACAAGTCGGTGGTTCTGCTGGAGGCAGTGGACCGTTCCTTACTTAATGTGGTCCACCATTTTGGGTTGAACCAGAGTCTTTACAGGACGGTGGAATTGGGTCTGAAAGCTGCTGTGATGAACCATTACAAGTACCAGGCGTGGCCGGAGTTCAAGAACAAGTTCCGGCAAAGGGTGTCGGCTTACGTGGTGGACTGGACCAAAGCGGTGAACCCAACTTCCCAGGACCGTACCCCTGGGTTAGGTTTTGAGGCAATCGAGCCACAAGGATGGGCGCAGAGGTTCTGTGAGGTTAGAGACGAGAGGCTGAAGAAGTTGACACAGAGATGGTTTGGGTCTAATACTCCTAATGGGTACAAATTGGCATGGGAAAGATAGAATACAAATTTTGGAGGTTTCTTTATTTTTTCCTTTGTGGATAGAAGGACATTATTTGCAAATAATTTGGAGATTCATTCTTTTTGTTTAAATAATAGATTGAGCACACTTACATTAAAGCGAGGAATGTAAATTAATTGAGGCATTGAGTGGTGGCTTTGATTTGATCTTTTCGATTGTAGTTTTGAATTGTATGATAGAAAAGAAATGAATTTGTTCATTTCATAAGGCTTCTGGCTCGATGTATTAGAGTATAATTGTAATAAAGGAAAAATGTTTTGCAGATTATTTTTTTTTATTTTTTTTTGAAATATATGCTTAAAATTTTATTTTTTAATTAATAATTTTAAAAATTTATTGTTAAATTAAAATTTCTATTTATATAAATTATGTATATTAATTTTTAAAATATTTTAATAAGTATAACTATTTTGTTGGTTATCAAAAATTTAATACTATTAAATATATGTCAATAAATAAAATTTTTTTTTATCAAAAAATCATAAATGTTAGATTAATATGAAAATTAACATAAATGATTTATATAAACAAAACTTTTAATCTAACCGCTAAAATTTTCTAAATATTAATTAGAATGTGAATTTTTAAATATTTCTTCCAAAAAAATTTTAAGATAATGACTTGTTTTTCACTATTTTCTTCTAGTAATGCACCAAAAGTGTCAAGTGACAAATTTAATTGAAGAATTTTTTAAACTTGACCAATAGGCAAAAAAAGCAAAATAGAAAAAAAAAAGACTTTGTAGAATAAAGTAAATTAACTGTATCGTTTGACAGCAAATTTTCTTATTAACCAAAGAATAGCACCTATCAACAAAAGAAGAGCACCTATCAACAAGAGTTTAATTGAATTAATATCCATTAATTTAAAATTTTTAATTTAATGTCAAGGTCGAATATTTAAATCTCTGTGTTATCAAATAACTAAGTTTTTAATATTAAGAAAAAAAAAACAAACAAACAAACAAACCATGGCACGTTGAGTTGTTTTCTTCTTGTTACTTGAAGAGTGAAAATTGGTTTATGATTTGTTTAACTTGTGTCCTAAAGGTGTATTAAATACACATTTTTATCATAATTTTATATTAAAAAAATAAAAATTAACTTTTAATTTATCAATTATCTAATTAAATTTACTTGATATTAAAATTAATATCAATTTTTATATTAATCTATATACATTTAATGCAAAAGGATACTTTGAGCACATGTTAGAAAAATTCATTGATTTATTGGGTAAGAAGAATTACATCTGATTATGGATTCATATCAGCAATTCTCAAATTTCCTTTTTAATCATTAGTGTTGGATTTGATGCAAACATGAAAGTCTTAAGTTTTAAGCAATGTTAGAGCTTAAGAAACAACTTGTTTTCCTTTTGCTAATTTTGGTCAGACAGTAAATTATAGCTTTTAGTTTTTCTTTTTTTTAAACAAGATTACAAATTAAAATTTAAAGGCGAGAGAATTCGAACCTTATCTTTCGACCTAAGAATGCATCTTAGACTTGAGATGCACCTTACGAACGAACCTATTATCATTGGGCTGCAAGGCCAAGTGCAATTATAGATTTTAGTTATCAGGAATCAATAATGAAATAATTACAAAATTATACTAATAAGACCACCTTTTTTTTTGCCTTCTCTCGGTACAGGACTAACTACTATTCATTTTGTGAAAACATATTGAATCTCCATCAGAGGGGGAATAACCATTTTGGGCATAATATGGAGGCGGTTTCACCTAAATTGACCGTTTTGTCGCTTCTTTAAGGAACTGCTATAATCTCGACCAACAGCTATTTGCAGCCCTACTCCTCACAACATAACATAGATGAAAACTCTTTAACGTTATTAAATACTCTTTGATGCTCCTGAAATTTCAAAATAATATCCCTTATTCAAGACATCTAAATACCAAGAAGTCGAATATAACATGTAAATACCTGTGATTTTAACCTTGAGAAAAAAAATGTAGATAGGTCAATCTGTACAGAACCTTTCCTACAATCTCACCTTATAACTCCATGAGGCAATGCTACTCAGTAAACCACTGAATTAGAAAGATGGGAGCATGTAGCCCAACAATGTAGTTCATATACAAGAAAAATGTCTATACCTAATAATGAGCTTACCTTAATGTTTAATTGAATTAATGGAATCCATTATTAGAGCTGCAATGCCAGATCTGGCTGCTGGGGTGAACCAATCCGCAGACTTGAACTAGGTGAACCTGGTGCAAGGAATCGCACATTTAGATCAGGTGGAAATGGATGTAAGTCCTGTTTATTGTAAGGTGATAGTCCTTGCCATGATGGTTTCCCCTGAAGACCAACTTCAGCTGCTGCATGTGATGCAGAGTCAGAGCTTGGGGCCATTGTATTACTAGACTGTAATCTGCCTGAATCAGCTGCAGGTCGAGGGCTAATAGCAGGGATGCCATCGGAAACCATGCCATACATTTGAGAGGGAACTGTAGGATTGTTGGACCTGGAATTCCCTGTTGGTGTTGCCACTCCCATTTGAGAAGAATAATTTACCCCATATCCACCACAAAAACCATTCATATCAGACTGGTGAGGTCTTTGCTGAAAATTGTGAGGAGATACAGGTTTTGTCTCACTGACTCTATTGTATTGTGAACTTGACTCACTTTGAGAATTTAGCACTCTAGCAGTTTCTGCATCCTCTCCACCTTGCGAAGAAAATCTACTGACTAGAACAGAGTTTGAACCTGAAGCAGCTGGAGAAAAATGTCTGGTTGAATGGTTATCAGATTGAGAGTTATTTGAAGATTTCTCCTTTTCAGAAATTATGAGTTGCTGCTGCTCATTGTCCCTGTTTTCTCCTACCCATCCAGGGCCAAACTGGACTCCATTTGGCAAAACCCTTTCAATTTTCTTTGAAGCAATTTTCCAAACAGCAGGCCCAAGATTTGCAGCAAATCGTGCCAGACTTGTTGCATATCCATGCTCATATAAACCAACCTGATAGAATTGGGAAAACCTGATTATCAGTACATCTGACACATATAAAGACCCAACAATTATTCAAGTAAAGAATATTGAGGAAGACAAAACAAAATAACAATAATGTTATCATGCTATTAACGGTCCAAGTAATATAACTCAGATGAGCAAAGTTTAATTGTGATTATTTGCCAACAGTTTTTTGAATATCCTTTTCCAATCCCTATTGGTAAAAGTGAAAATATAGGCAAAAATACTCCCAATACTGGCAATTATATATTAAGATCCCCATACAAATACTCACCGGAATTAGTTGTTTAAATCTTCCATCCAAGGTGCCAAAGAGAAACTGTTCATCTCCAGAATTCAATGAATTGTTATAGGTGTCACGCTTGTTCTCATCAACTGGAAAATGTTTCATTCCATACTTCATCACAGCCCTCACAACAGAAGCTGCAAGGACAAATAAATGCAGGTTTTATTCAGTCTTATGTAAGCCAAATACAAAATATTATTGCACATAAAACTAAACTGGAAAATCACAAACCTGGAAATTCATTCTCCCATTCAGATGACCAGTTGCTATATGTCTCATGGTTGTGGGAAGCATAGGAAGGCCTGACTAATGTTTCAGCAGGCCGGAGCCTGTATGAATTAGTTCCTCTCCTCAAATTATTTTGCCAATTGGGAGCATCCCCTCCAGCAGCAAGGGTTGCATCTGATGAAAACTCAGAAGCAACACGCTCCAAAGAAGATGGCTCCAATGATTTTTTTATGCTCTTTCCTGGTGGTCTTCCTCTCCTCACAACTTTTGGCTGAGGTTCACTATCATCGCTATCTTGCCTCAAATTCTCAAAATCCTTTTTAGCCAGCTCATGCATCGACCGTGCCTAACCAAGCAATCAAGATCATTAAAATAATACAACAAACAAATAATAAAAAGAAGGAATAACACAAATTCAAATGTAGCCAAACCTGTCGAAAGTAAATAGTATCTGGTGCATTATACTCCATTGCATTCGAACATATCAAAAATACGTCTTTCTGCATAAATCAAATGCACAAGTTTCAAATTCCTGAAGAAATATCCTGGTGAAATTATGCTGCCAGTATTTTGTATTTAATCTACACCGCTTAGGGTACATCTTGAAGCAAAAATGAAGCTAGCTTGACTACTGCATACAATAGTCAGTCAAAAGCTTGGGGGAATGTCTAAAGGTTATAAATGCAGCAAGAGATAGTTTTTATATATCTGTTAAAACTTTGGTCTACTTTTCTCTCCTGGATACTCATTTCTCACAATCCTTTAAACTTAATACACCCAAAACAACCTCTAAAATGGAGTTACCTGCTGTATATTTACCCTCCCCATTATCCTTACAAACTCAAAATACATACTTCTGGCAAAGTATATTAGTCTTAGCAACAATATAAACGCATGCTATAGCAGTCTAGCTTGAAAAAGGCCAGAAAATTGATGAAGTACAATATCTTGGCAAACAAATCTAAATCAACCACAAAAAATACTCAGAAAAATGATGCAACCAGACAATTTCTCAACTTGTTTCATCCACATAGTATGTCTACAAAGACAAATACACAGTGCTTCGTGTATCCATAGTACAAAGCAAATGATTTGAAAACAAACCTCAAATTCTTCCAAGGACATATAAGCTCCCCCATCAAGTTTTTTCCTCACTGTACCAAAATCCATAGGATTTGCAATAATGTCATGGTAATCAGGAAGCTGCAGCAAAATGAATTGAAAACACTAGGTTAAGAACTGGGTTTCCTATAATTAACATTAACGCAACACTAACAAACTAAAAGCACCTCTTCAGGATCCACTGGTTCAGAGAACACTCCATAAGTATCCTTCCTGTAATTAGATTAAAAGTACACTAATTACAACCCAATAAAAAGAACACGAGGATAAAAAGAGAAAATGCAAGGAACTAAAATTAACACACTTTTGAAGCCTATCAAGAATGAAGACCAACAACTTTTTGTCTGGCAAAGGTGTCGTGGGGCCGGACTCCACCAGTGACCCTGTCCACAAACATAGGACAATAATTTAATTAAAACTTAATTTAATTACAAAAAACGTACTTTTTCAAGAATTCCAAGAAATAACTTTTTCAAGAACAACGAGATATAGATTTGTACCATGAAGAGTGTCAGTCGCTTTCAAAGCCTTTTCTCCCTGCAACCAAGTAACTCTATTATCAGTCCTATGCTTCTATACAATTACCCCAGCACACAAAAAGTTCATAAAAATCTCCAAATTGAGATACTCGCTTGGTTATTTAAGACTTGGGGAGAGTTACAGTAAAAAGCCATAACAAAACAAAGCAGGCAAATATGTTATTGGGTCTCTCTGCAACTTCTATTATTTTTGGCACATAAATAAAGGTAAGATTAAATACAAACAACGGAGGAATAAAAAAAAAATATTGCAAAAACTGTAAATTAGGAAATAAAGAAAACAGAAACCCACCCAACACCTAATTTTCCAAAAATCAAAAAGTTCGTAAAATAAATATGCTCTAACAACGACCTTGTCAAACTAATCCACTCTTCTTCTCCGATCCACTCACAAACTTCAATTTACCCGCGAAATTTCAAAACTGCATTTAAGGGGAAAAAAAAATCCACAAACCCAAGGAAAGCAAATCGGAGAGAACAGAAATTGAGCGATTCGATAATCACCGTTTGATTAGATCCAGAAGCAACAGCGCCGATCTTCCGTCGCTTGAGCGCCGATGCCTCCGGATCCTCGCCGTCCAAATTTGAATCGGATCCGTACGCGTTGGAATTCAGAACCGAAGAATTAATTGGATAATGCTGCTGAATACCTCTGGAATTGAGGCCGTGCAACAGCTTGTGCTTCTTCTGCTGCCTCTCATCATCATCATCCCCGCCGGTGTTAATCCCCTCACCTCCCGGAGAAGATCCGTCCGAATTAGGATTCCGCCGAGTGGATCGGCGGTTGGAATTGAGGGAGCTAGGGTTTGTGAGATTGGCGGATTCCTGTTGCTGCTGCTGTTGTTGCTTGAGAGAACGCTTCTGGAGTTCAAGGAGAGACGGACGCCCCTTCTTTTTCTTCTTCTTGGTCATCGTCTCCGCGCCAACATTTCCCCCCATTGAACTTGTTCCCTCTTCTCTGCTTTTCTTTCTCTAAAACCGGCTTTGATTTTTTTTTCCCCTCTTTTTATTTATTTATTTATTTATTTTTATTTTATTCAGTTTTCCTTTTCTTTTTCTTTTAAAAAAAAATTGAAATATTTGGGATCAGTTCATACGTGTGAGCGGCGAGGACCGCGTTTCGGCGAGGGATGAAAGTCACGTGAAAAACTTGTTCTTGTTTGTCTTTTTCTCATTATTATTTACAGTAGTGTATGATTTTATTTTTTCATGTCTTTTTTTTTTTCTTTTTGTTTTTATGTCTTTTTCTCATTATAATTTTTTTGATACTATATTTATGAATAATGATAAATAAAATCAAAATTTATGATAAATAATGTGATATAAATTATGATATTTAAAATACTAAAAACAAATCTTATATTATTTAATGATTGTTTTTTTTTTAGATTTATAATATTATATTTATTAACTAATTTATTAATATAATATAACTCATAACATTAATTCTTAAATTTTCATTTTAAAATTTTGTTTTTTCTATCATTACTCTATATCTATTTGACCATTTGATGAAGACCTACCAATTTAGTGGCCTAACAACTTAATGTAAGTTTTTTTCACCATGATAAGGGTTCGATTCCCCTCCTCTCTTCCCCGAATAACTTGCCCTAATAAAAAAAAAAAAAAAAACTTGGTCCACCATTTCTGATGCTATGATTATAATTATTATTATAATTATTAAATTTTTATTTTAATATAATTATTAAAAATAATTAACAATTTATAAAATAATTAATATTTATTATTTAATAAATTAAAATTAATTTTTAAATAAATATTTTAAATATCATAATTAATTATTTAAAAAATTATAAACTAATAAAATTATAGTTGAAATTAATAATTTTAATAAAAAAAATTTTGTGACAATAACTTAAGTCATTTATGATAAATACCAAATATTATTTCAACTTTTTATTTAAGAATAAGGTTTTTCTTCCCAAACTTCTTCTTCATTCATCTTGTAATTAGGTATTGAGATTTTTAATATAAAAGATCAAGTTTTTAATTATTAGGAAGAGTAATTTGCAAGTTACCAGAGCTTAATTTTAGGCTTGAGAAAAATTGAGCTAGAACTCAACTTCACAAGACAACTCGTGAGTTAATTACTTGTGAATGCACAATTTAAAAATAAACATTATATTAGTAGTATATATTATTATAATTTAAATGTATAATATAGCTAAAAAATAATTTTATAGTTATTACATATTTTAAACTAAAACCAATTAGAGCTTGATTGTATAGTGGTTTTTGGTTGAAAAATTATTTGTAAAAAAGACATTGATGGATATACTTTTTATTCAATATGTTTATTAAAAATTATTATTTTTTTATATAAAAGTAAAGCAAAAAAACTTAAAAATATCCATACATATAGTACGTAAAAATCAATTGAATGATTGTATTTATATTATATTTTAATAACTAAACTAAATAAATATTACAAAATATATCAAATTAAAAAGTGTATCAATTATTTTCTTGTAAAAATATTCTTAGTTAGAATCATAAATAATAAACTCAAACTTAGCTTTGAGTATCACTCAAACTCAATTACTTGAGTTTGTGTTTGTGTTTGGGTGCACTAATTGAGCTTGAATACCTAGACAGCCCTATTTAGCATGACTGGCTAACAATCCTTCTAGGGGATCCCTTAAAGAACATTCTCTCAACCTTTAATTCCTAACATTTTCTAAATGGTTAAACCCTTTTCTTTTGTTAGATTCGATCCAAATGCAACTGATAACTTGAAATTAATAGTAAATATCTAATAACTAACAGAATTTGTTTTGTTTAAAATCTGAAGTGCTAGAAATTACTTTCCATTTTGAATATCCAAAAATTGAAAGGAATCTAAAAATTTTAAGGAATCTAAAAATTTTAAGGAATCGAATAGGTTAAAATAAAAAATAAAAATAATATAGTTACAATACTATATAAATGATCATAAATTAATAATTATAAAATATTATTAAATAAATATATATAATATTATGAATAAATATTAAATAAAAAATATTTAAATAATATAATAATACGATAATTAAATAAATTGTCCCATAGATTTTGTTCACGTGTGGATCCGATAAAATGGCTAGATAGAATTTCTATTAGGGACTTTTGGAGTTGACTATCAGTTTAATTAGGTCAATTTCAATAATCTGTTAAAATGTAGGTTTTTTTTTTTTTTCTTTTGCCATAAATTTAACTAATTACTGTACTAAAGTCTAAATAACAGGGCTGCTCTATTTTGAAAAAACTGAGGTCAATTTTTAGAGCAAATGGAAGCTTGAGATAATATTGGTATTCATGGAAAAGTTTTTGGACGCAAATTTGGTGTTTAGCCATTTGAACATTAAAGTATAAAAGGCTTTCATATTGATAATAAAAGCACTTCAACTACTAAACTAATTAGGTTTAATACCCAATTTGGTCCCTAAACTTTCATTTCCGAACTTAGTTCATCCTGTAACTTCAAAAAGCACCCAAATCGTCCTTAAACACTATTTTTCCATAACACAAATGGTCCTTTTGTCGACGGAAGTGCATACCTGGCACGTTAAGTCTCCATCAATTAAATCTTTTAATTTTCACAAGTTTATGTGGAAAAAACACCACAATCAATTGATGACATGTCAACAATTGTATTCCACGTCCTCCAACCTTCTAAATAAAACAATGGGGCACACATGTTACCGTCTTTCTCTATGCAGACTCCTTTTCCAAAATCTACTTCACTTCACTCTCTCTTTCGTTTTACCCTTTAACCTTAAATCATTTGCAACTCTTGATTCTTTCTTCTTCAAACCCTTGATTCCTTCTTCTTTGACCCCTAAATTGTCTGCAACTCTTGATTCTTTCTTCTTCGAACCCTTGACTCCTTCTTATTTGAACCCTAAATCCTTTGCACCTTGTAATTCCTTCTTCTTTAAACCCCAAATCATCTGCATTTTTTATTTCTTCTTCCCTTGAACTCTAAATCCTTTACTATTTGTCTTTTAGATTTTGGGTTTGTGAGAATCATAACATGGAAGGTGGTTCTGCATAGAGTCTAGTTTTAGGTTCATTTCAGAGTGGAAGTATGGCAAAATCTACAGAGTACAAAAGTGAAAAGCATAGATACAACTGTGGATTGAATGCTATTATTTGGACTTCGTTTACTTTCCAAAACATGGGTAGCAGGTTTAGATGTTGTCCTAAGAAGAAGGTGTTGGGGTGTGCTGGTGATGTAGGATGATGAGTCAACAATGGAAATGATGTGGAGGCTGACTAGGATGCCACTTGTGAAAGATGAGGAAGGCCCTCTTGGTGGCACCCGTTTCACGTACGAGAGGCTACGTGCCATGGGTCGTCTCGTTCAACTTAGTGATGTTGGTTAACAGCAAATTTCTTAGCAAACTCTAAAGGTGTAAGTTTTCCAGCCAAGCCAAAAGGGAGAGCTGGCAATGATGATTGAGCTCCAAGATGTCCAATGATGTTGGTTGGCAGCAAATTCCCCAAAAAAGCCTGGAAGTAGAGTTTCTCCAATGAAGACCAAAAGTAGAGTTCTCCAACAAAGACCAAGAATAGAGTTTCTCCAACGAAATCTGGAAATAGAGTTTTTCCAGCAAAGACCGAGAGTAGAGTTTCTCCAGTGAAGTTTGGAAATAAAGTTTCTCTAACAAAGTTCATAAATAGAGCTTATTTGGCGAAGTTTGGGAATAGAGCGTGTCTAACCAAGCCAGAAAGAGTGGGTGACGATGGTGCTCCCAAGATAATGAGAATGATTACACAACTATCAAAAATAATGAAAATGAAATGTACATTGCTATAGGAGCAACAAGGATAGAAAAAAGATAGAAAATATATAAAAGTTAAAAATTATAACTTGAGAAGCACATTTTTACATAATGTATTATAGCATAATAGCAAAAACAATGAATGTGCCCTTCATTATCCTTGATAAATCCTTCTACTCTATAATGAGCAACCCTCACATTGTAGATAAAAAGCATAATGGTCTCTTTCAAGCTTTAACAAAACAAAAGGAATAAACTTGAAAGTAGTGATGGGAGAAGGAAGGATAATGTTTTAGGGGCTTGTGAATAGAGGGCTTGATCCCGTTTTTGATGCAAACTCTTCAGTTTGAACCTTTGATGCTCATGAAGATAACCCAAAAAATGAATCTGCAATATGTTGTCTCCCAACCATGATGTTCTTCAAGTTTGGAAATTGTTCAACAATGCTAGAAGTGCAGAAAATATAATAAAAATGGTGGTTTTTGGGTATTTTTGGTGTATTTAGAGAGACATTGAAAATGAAGGATTTTTTAGAGGAAAAATCAGAGTTTGGTACGTAATGAAAAAAGTTAGAAATGTGAAAACTGTTGAAAATTTGCTAACAATGAAGGGAAAATAATATATATGTGCAGTGACATTTTTGTAATTTTTGGGTTGATGGGTTAGAGGTGCATAGTGGCCTAATGGCTAGATTTGGGTGAGCTGTTGAGTTTTGAGTGGTTTTGAGTGGTTTTGAGCATTGTTGATAGCTTTTTGGAAGTGATATTATGAATTATTCAGTGGTTCCAATGAAAGACCGTCAGTTCCAATGAAGTACTGCTAATTTATTGAAGACTGTTCATTTTTGGTAACTCTCCAGCCATATGAAATTCCATTTTTGGGGGGATAATTAAGTGCAGCAGGCAAAATCAAATATGACCAAGATTTTGGTAGATTTTCAAGGGCTGCCCAATATATTGGCAGATTTCCCAGATAAAATGTAATATTTGTCAACAGTTTCCAAGGCTAGCAACCTTGTGCAGCCCCCTTTTCAGCTGTTTTTAACACAATGCAGCCACCTTTGCATTAAATATAACTACAACTTGCTAAGGATGATCAAGATAGCATTTCTAGTTGGTTTTGAACGGGATTTTAAGCTTTTAGTTAGCATCAAACAGTATTGTTTTTGTGGATCAAGTTTGCCTCCATATCTTCGCAACCCAGCCCTTTCTAGCGAAGTTAGGCAACATCGCTAGCGCCAAGCTTCGCTAGTGCAAATACCTCACTTCGCTAGACAAGCAAAGTTCACCCATACATGCTTACCAAGTCACTACTCTCATAGTTTATCCCGAACATCCCCATGAGATTAGATTCATGGGTTTATTGATAACATGTATAAAGGAATAGTGATCAATTGATGAAAATGATGAAATTTAATAAATAAGGAAATAATAAAGAAACAAAACTTCCTTATGTATTTTTGGAGATGCAACCATATATTACAACATTAGATACCGCTGAGCATAGCCAAGTATTACAACATCAGATATTGTTGGGCTTTTTGATATATGCACGTTGAAGGCATTAGTAGGTGCTTAGATCAAGGCAGGTCTTGGTGGCGTGGAAACTACGCAAATCCAAGTTTGACCTTTTACAAAAACATCCATCAACAGAAGGTAATCATACAATTTATCTCTCTTTTTTGTCAATGGTTTAGGCTTTTCTCAATTGGTTATTTAGTTAACAAGGTTTTTATGTAGGATCCTTGCAATTACTTCCACTTCCTAGTTGGTGAGGAAAGGATCAAGGGTAGAGCGATGGAGTTGCTGTTGGATTCGAAAGATAAAGAATCCAAAGTTGTTAAAGAAAAAAAGAAAATAATGCAAGAAAAAGATAAGCCTGCATTGGAAAATGGAAAATTGGAGGAGGAAAATGGGAAATTGTTGACGGAAAATGTGAATTGAAGGAACACAGTGGATTAATGGATAGAAAGGTAAGAGTTTTGGAGAAGAAAGTGAAAAAGGTGGAGAAAAAGTACTCAAAAACTGTGATGATCAATGAAGTCATTTGTTTGGTTGTTTTAAAGTTCATTGCTTTAATTTTTGGTGTATTTCTATTTAGGGTGTGTTTGGTGCAGCTAGTGG